AAATTTTTACTCATCTCTACCCGGCCCTTAAATTTAGAGAGATAATGTATATTTAGGGAAACTCCTTTTCAGACGACAAAAAAAAATAATGTTTCAACTTTCTTTAGCTCGTGGCTGTTTTTTTGAAAAAAAAACAATGATCTACTCTGTCTTTGACGATACGCCCTTGAACGAATGTTTCAGATCCATTTTGGACGTGTTTTTATGAAGCCCGGATTGCCGACGACTTTTGCGACGGGGGAATTTAATGGCCAGAAAAAGGTATATTAAAAGCTTTATTAAAAACTCCTAGTTATCCAAATTATCTTTGCTTTGACGTATCAAAATAACATTTATCCACTCAAATAACTCGATTTTCGGGTTTTAATAACAATATAAAGCTGTGCACTTTGTTAATATTAATTTTAGTTAGTATTCGCACTGCCGGGAAACCCAGTCTCCTCCTGGGTGTGCGCCCAACTTTTCGCCGTCCCAGCAGTCCGGAAGCTACGCGGCGAAACACGATTCCGTCATACCAAAATGGCCGTAAAAGTGAGTAATTCGGCATTAAACGGCTTAAACTAATTGGAGATCTTTTGCAATATCGGGGTAGGGCTTAGCCATTTCGAAACGTCAAAACTTTTATAAAAAAAAGCGGTGTTTCGACCAAGAATGGTCAGTTTCGACGAATATTACGTATTATTAAATTTTTGTTAAAGAGTTTTACCGCTCATAATATAGCTAAATGATATCAAAAATACCATGAAATAGTTAATACTGCGTTATTAGGCGGTTCTGGACCATATAAAAAGAACCTGGTCCCCCCCGATAATGCGCAAGCACCGAATTTCGACCGAACGAATTTGGAGGCAAACTGTTAACTAGGTGTAAAAGGCGCATCCGAATCCATAAATTTTACATTTACATTTTTAGTTAGCCGATACCGTAAAGCTGGATCCGCGTCCGGAATTCCGGAGGGCATTCATCGAACGGAATGAGGATGGGACTGGACTGCCTCTAGCCACCACTACCGGAAATCAAATTTCGAGCCGTTTGGTTAGCCTGAGGGTACGTTAAATATTACTGTCTTTGTGCCTTTAAAACTACTTCGTATCCAACTGTTTTTAGGGAGCCCAACTGCTACTAGAATTGCCCGGAAAAACCGACGGCTTAACCGAAATCTCGGCCGGATCGATCGTTGAGGGCCTCGTCATTGGCAGACTATAAATTTTTATTTTTTTTTGTAGTTTTGTGATTTTTTGGTGTTTTGGTGATAGCGGGGATTCAATACTATTAAAAACTATGCAAAAATCACGCCAAACTAGGGAGCGAGGTCAGTCAGTGCCCCCGAGACACGAGAGCGAACGTCGCCCACCTGGCCCACTATTTTGGCATATAAGCGCAGCCCTCGCACGGCTAATCGGAACAAGTTCCAAGAAGCTTGAGGTTTGTATTAACCCGAGTTCTTCCCTACGGAAGTCTCGTAAATTTTGGAAGGCAGCTCTTCGGAGCTGCAACTTGTTTATTCGATCTATTATTTTGGTTTCCTTTTAAAGTCGTTACTGAGTTTTCCCCGACCTAAATGAAAACATGGTGAAGTTTGAATCCCTGATTGATCCCTAAAGCTTATCAGAGAATTTGCTTGCCGCATCACACCCCACTCCCATTGAACATTCCAGCCAGGCATCTGTTTATTGATTTTTTTCTCTGCCTGGATCAAAGCCCTGAGCTCCGGCAATTGATGCTCAAACTTTTTCTGGGATTTTCATTAATCGGTTGGTTTTTGAAATAAATAAAAAGAAGTTTATACAGTACTTTGGCATTATCGGGGGCGTTTTTAGCTTGACCCCATTTTTTTGGCTACAAGCGCATGTGATTATAGACAGTTTTTATTAATCGTAAGCTTAACAATTCAGCACGTTGAAAAAAGCAAAATATTATTTTTTACCAACAAGTTTAAGCAAACGAAATAATATTAATAAAAACCAGGAAGCACATTACTTAAGTGCTGTCATCGTATTGAAATACAGGGCTGTTTGTGGCGTTCGACCTGAACCTGTGCGACACGAAGAAGACGATCCAGTGTGAGCTGTGGGAGACGTGTTGTCCTGGCAAGGGCGGGACTTACGGTAATTTATAGGTATTAGAGTGCAAATTACAATTCGCACTTGCAAGTTTAAAAAAAGATCAAATCGGAAAAGGATAAAAATTTTTGGCAGGCTCTTAATTGCCACATGGAAGAAACATTCTGTCGCGAATTTGTGCAAAATTCTTGGAAAAAATTGAATTATACAGCCCCTCTAACTCGACGCAGAAGCATCGGATAGGAATAGTAGTTACACAATTCGAAAGCCCTTGACACGGCGGGTTTGTAAAAATGTTTGCGCCATGTTTTTAATGAAATGAACCATTTTACAACGGATTTACACACATTAAGAACGCTCGCCGCATCTATTTAACGGCTGCTTCCGGTCCTTTTGTATGGAAAAATTGAGGCAAATTAGCAACCCCGCTAACCCGGAAATTTTACAAAATCTGTTCTAAAATAGAGAATTTAAATAAAAAATGATTTTGAAGATTGTGGCAAACTCGCCATTTCGAGGGGGGGGGAACAGAGTTTCGGCGTTTTGAATATTTTCGATATTTTGAAAATGCCATTCGATAGAGGGCCGAAAAATATAGTAAGAGCTGTTTTACAGCCCGAAACAAGCATATTTAAAAATACTTTTATCACAAAAAAAAGTTTGATTGCCCCCGTTATCCTTGGTGTACCCCCTTTATCGACAGAGTTTTGAAAAACAAAAAAAAGCGGCGAATTTTGGCCCTCTCTTTCTAGCCCCGTAAAAATCTAAAAAGTTGTTGTGAAGAAAACTAGTACAGGGTGTCCCAAAAACCCCCCCCCCCCTCTAGAGGCCGTCAATCGGATCGGATCGGAATGATTTTTATACCAATCGAAAGCTCTCGGAAAGGCGAGAAAACAAGCGGGTTTCGTTTTCTAAGATTGAATCTGATTCTATCGATATTTCAGGTTTTCATAAAAAGCCGGGAATTTTTCATCAGGAATTTCGCAATTAGCATGCAGATCTCGCATAAATCAGCGGTTTTCATGGTTTTTGGAGATAAAATTAGCAAATAAAAAAGCTCAATTAAGGAATTCAACCCTCCTTGTTTTCTCGCCTTTTCGAGAGCTTTCGATAAATACCTAAATCGTAAAAATCGGAATCGACTGCGGACCGCTAGGTAGGGGGGGTTTTTTTTGGGACACCCTGTATAGCCATCTTGCGGAGCATCGAATGCTCATTCAAACTACGTGTGTTTAAGATCACAGATGAATGTTTTTGAAGAATCAACGAACACACTAATAAGATTTTGTTCCCGGGTTCGAACTTCCACATTGCTGAAACATTTTTTAGTAATTCCTTTTGATTCGTTTTTGTACGCTACCTTAATTGTAATTTGGTTTAATCGTGGGTTTTAACACCAAAATCGACATAAAGAATAAAATGTGCAAAAATTAAAGCTGCGGGGAGGTCAGGCGGGGACCAACCGTTTTTGAATTTTTTTAAATTTGGATAGAGGAATCGCTCCTTATCGGTTTTTTTATTGTTCCTAGCCGTGTTGTACCCAAAAAAAAAATAAAAATATTGACTTTTCGCCCAAAATGGTGAATTTTTCAAATGCTTTTAAGGTTTTAGATTGTTTTTGGCTGAGATATACTTAGTTTACTAAAAACATCATAGAAAATACTTCCTGTTAAGTTTCTAGTCATTTCGAGAGTTATGGAAAAATGCCGCCCGAAAATGCATAAGAACCATAAATGGAAATAACACTTTTCAGCTTGTTGCCCATATCTGAAGGGGAATTGTTGTGGACTCGATTCGGATCGATGTTGCCCACCCGGCTTCAAGTGTAGCCTCGCCGGCTGTCAGCGGGTTTGTTTTAAAGGGGCGCGCAAGGCAGATTTTGGTTCTGTGACCTCTGGATTTCGGCCTATGTTAATTATTTCCTAAAATAATTTGTCCTAAATTCGTTTTTGCTAGAAAAGATTTTCCGAAATAGGTATTTTCCTAAAGCACAATTTTTCCTAAAATTTCTCATGTAAATAAGGCGGTGCACAAGTACCAAGTAAACGCAAATGCTGTCATTGTTATTGGTTATCGAAGCTCTTGTTTGTATTTTATAAAAACGATTTTGAGGAAAAATGGGCTACGGTTTACTTTACTCCCCCCCCCCAGCCGGAAGTTTTTGGCTATAACTTTTTTATTTTACTTTATTGTAGGCTCAAATTAAAACTCTTAGTATATTTTTCGACGCTCTATCGAATGGCTTTGCGAAAATCCCGATAAAATAAGCGTAAATACCGACAACTTTGAGACCCTTCGGCTGTGAGGGGGTAAAGTAAACTCTTACCGAAAAATGAGTTAAGTACAAATGATTTTTATGAAAAATGACGGCATTCCTGGATTTCCTATTGATTATACTTTACTATGACGTTTTTTGCTTTTATTTATTTTTTATTTCAGATTCCGCACAACGGAACGGCGCTCTGAATTGCCACGCCTTCAATTAATCCCGATTCACACCTCCAAAAAATATCGATTCAATGAATAAATTGATTCTTGATTAAATTAACGAGCCGGGGTACTGGACTGTTAGCGGGGGGAGAGTGGATTTTTTGCGGAGCGGTGAGATTAGCGGAGTGCTACAAAGTCCAACAAATATTCAGAAAAATGATGAAATCCGAAAATTTTGAGGTTTTTTGAAAAAATACATATACAACAAAACAAAAAAAAACAGAAATTATCGCAATTTATTTCTATCAATAGTTTTCTAGATTTAAAAATTGCGTAAAAAGCTATAAAACCCATATAAGCTTCATTCAAAGGGCATACAGAACTATTGGGAAAAAATTTTCAAGATTTAACGAATTTAAAAGCCCCCGCTAAAAGGCCAGTACACGAAAAATTCGGTCGGAATGGGTGAATTGAATGCAAGCCAGATTGTGCAATTTGCATATCAGTTTCCCACGCTTCCTAACATTTCGGAACGTTTTTCCGTTGTTCTTCATCGTGCATCTCGCCGAGAAGGTCGGTTTTAATGGTCTTTGGAACTGTTTTAGGAGTTACACAAATGCGCTACTGGGGGCTGCTCGGGCTCGTCGCCTGGCTGCTCTTTGGCCAGCTGAACGGTGGCCAACGTCGTCGAGTGAGAACTCCGGTGTTATGCCATGCAGTATTCTCTCTCTCTCTCTCTCTCTCTCTCTCTCTCTCTCTCTCTCTCTCTCTCTCTCTCTCTCTCTCTCTCTCTCTCTCTCTCTGTCTCTCTCTCTCGCTCGCTCCTTCTCTCTCTCTGTCTCTCTCTCTCCCTCTCTCTCTCTCTCTATCGCTTTCAAGCTCATTCTCCCTTTCAGGGCCCAGTCGGCGGGCTGAACGAGTTCCAGCTGAAATTCGGCAAGATGTCCGCCGAGAAGAAGCAGAAGGCCCACCAGGAGCTGATCTCGGCCGCCAAGCTGAACCACGACACAGTCGTCGCCAATATCGCCAAGTACAGAAGCCCCGTGTTCGTCAAGGACAACAAACAGATGAAGGTATCGGCTGTTTGATAGATGGGAGCGGGGGGTGGTGATCCGGCCGGCGCAGTAAGAGTTGCCCACCTGGCCCACTGTCCCCCCAGATATGCCGTGCCTCAGATATCAGGCTGGACTTGATCCCACAAGTTTGAGGTTTGTATCAACCCGAGTTCCTCGAAGGAGCTCGTAAATTTTGGAAGGCAGCTCTTTCTGGGCTGCGCTTAACAGTAGACATATTTCTCATTTTTGCGTTGCTTTACGTTCCCCATTTCAGCTGAAAAACACGGCGGCCGAGAAGGACCAGTACGAGTACGGGCCCGGGTCGATTGTTGACCAGCAGATGCGAGACTACGCATTCATCCAGGCACCACTCGACGAGAAGACGGCACTCGATCTGTGGAAGACCGTTTGGCAGGTATCGAACACATTTCGTGGTTGGCTTGGCTTCCCTGGCTTGGCTTGAGATTTGATCTGGCGCGTAGCGGTCGAGAGCCGGAGGGTTCCCTTTAAAAACCGCTTTTCCAGGACCAGACGCGTCTGGTGTGCTCGGTATCGCAGGATAAACTGATCGGCGAGGAGGCGTCGAGCATATGCTGGCCATATTGGCCACGCGGCGAGGGCAAGATCATCTCCAATGATGTGAGTATTCTTAATATGCCTATAATATCTAAAAGCAATTTGCCCCCCCGTTAGCAGTGCAGTACCTCGTTTTTTACAGAACGGTCGCTTCGTGGTGAAGTGCAAGAAGAAGGGGGGCGAGGGCAAGAAGGGGTTCACCATCTACGAGTTGACCGTCGTTGGACCACCCGATGAGGACAAAGTATCGTCGCGTACTACTGGCTTTTAACTCGATTTTTCAGAAAGGCGAAGAGAAGGGCGGTGGCGCCGACACGGAGGAGCGCCCGGTACGGGAATATTGCCCCAAAAATATGTTTCCTTCCAGGTGACGCTGCTCCACTTCGAGAAGTGGGCGCCGGAGAAGCGGATGGATGGGGAGAACGTGTTCCATCTCGTCATCGAACTGCACAACCGCACCCAGCAGGTAAGAGAGAGGGAGAGAGAGAGAGAGAGAGAGAGAGAGAGAGAGGGAGAGAGAGAGGGAGGAGGAGAGAGAGGGAGGAGAGGAGGAGGGAGAGGAGAGAGAGAGAGAGAGAGAGAGAGAGAGAGAGGGGAGAGAGTGAGAGAGGAGGAGAGAGAGAGAGAGAGAGAGAGAGAGAGAGAGAGAGAGAGAGAGAAGAGGGAGAGAGAGAGAGAGAGAGAGAGAGGGAGGGAGAGAGAGAGAGGAGAAGAGAGAGAGAAAGAGAGAGAGAGAGAGAGAGAGAGAGAGAGAGAGAGAGAGAGAGAGAAGGAGAGAGACAGGGACAGAGACAGCTAGAGAATAAAAGATTTTCCAGCCTTGTGACAAAGTGACGGACCACTTCTCCGTGCCGTCCTCCCTGCAGGACTACGCGAGTGGTGCTGGAGGTTCGGCTTTTAAAGTAGCAGAACAGGCACCCTTACTTTTCCATTATTTCTTTTATTTCCCAAAAACTAATAAAAACTATGAGCTACAGTGCTTTTGCATTATCGGGGGGGGGGGACGACCGGGGCTTTGTTTCTGAGGATCGGGTTTTTAAATTATAAATAGCGGAAGGCTGTTTTCACTATTAATAAATATTTCATTAAATTTTTTGTATCCCAAAAATGACCGACTTTTCTGGGCTTTTTTTTGAAAAATTCGGATCCCCTCACCCGAGATGTGAAAGAAACTCTATCAGATAAAACCGTTCGATTGACGTGTTAAAGGGATTCTTTTCAGCAGATTCACGAATGCCTCGCCATCCGCTACTATCGGGATCGTCATCTTCCTCATGCTGTTCCACTTCTTCGAGTGGATCTTCGGCGATGCAGTTCAGCACAACGATCGACTCGGCGCTGGCGCCAACTTAGCCACGACAAGGTGAAAATTAAAAATAGTGCGTTTGCATTATCGGCGGGAACGAACTTTTTTTTTGCAGAAACCTAGAAATGTTAGTAATTTTATAGGAAGTACCAGGGTTGAAAAGCCGCTTCGCGACTTTTCAACCCTGGCCCCGTCTTACCCCCATGCTTCACCACTTTGCATAAACACCTGCATTCCTGTGCAGAAAAATGAAAAGCGCGTCATCTCCCCCATTATATAGGCTCTCCCCCTTCCGGTGCATGAAAATTGATTCCTAACAGAGGCCGAGCGCGATTTTCACAAAAACCTATTTTTAATGTCGAAGACAGCTAATTTTGAAAAATCTCATATGCGTGCAGTCGTGTCATGACCATTACGCACCTAATGACGTATCATACATGCCCTTAACTTCATCCTTTATGGTGATACGGCTGGAACATACGGACGGAAATTGCATGCAAATGCACACACACACACACACACACAAACACTATTTTTTTATATATAGTAGGATTTGACAAATATAACTTTGTTTCAACCAAAAAAACCATCAAAAAACGTCAAAGTTTTGAAAACAAATCTAAATTTCGTCAAAAAGCGGCCTTTTTGGCCGAAAAATAATTTTTTTTTTGTATTTGTATGCAACAAAAAAATGGTAAGAGTCTAGGAAACCCCCCCCCCAGCCGTAACTTTTCAGCCATACGTCCTATTAATGCGTGGAGTATCTCAAAATGTTCGCCGTGGTCGAATTACTATAGAAAAGTCGTTTACATACATCAAAAATTGTTAGAAAATTTTTTACAAGGTTTTGACAGTTGAAAAGATTAAACCGCTATGCTTCGATCTACTAGGAGTCTAAAACTCAAATATTTTTATTTTCCGCTTTTTTTTAACTCAAACGTACGGTAGGCGTATTCTCCAGAGCAAGAGCTACATTTTGGTACTATTGACAGCTCTGTACGTCAAAAGATAGCCGAGAAACGAAAACTCACTTTGGAACAGCAAAAATTAACTAAGGAAAACCTAGACTTATAATTGTTATAAAAATTTTTCTAACAATTTTTGGTGTATGGAAACAACTTTTCTATAGTAATTCGACCACGGCGAACATTTTGAGATACTCGGCGCATTAATAGGACGCATGGCTGAAAACTTGTGGCTGGGGGGGGGTTTCCTAGACTTGAGCCAAAAAATATTTTGGTTTTTTTAATAAGAATTTATAGTTTAGGAATAGGAAAAAACTGTGTTTAGAAATACTGCCGCTATTTCTAGTAAAAAAAACAGGCTCGTTAGAATAAAATTGCCCCCCCCGCCCCCCGATAATGCGAAAGAACCGATAAAATAACATGACGGAACAGTGTTCAAAAATTTCGATTTCTGTTTTTGGATCTGAAAACCGTGTAAAACGTAAAAAAGAGTTAAGCTTTCGTTGTAGAGCCGCAAAATTGGGTCTCCAACCCCCAACGACTCTGCACCCCCCCGCTAACAGTTTCGTACACGCAATTTTTGCAGCGCGTCCTCGGCGAGTGAGCCACCAGATTCGCCACGCCCACCAGCATCTGCGAGGCTTTCAGAGCTGTCCGTCGAGGCGACGCAACCGTAGCCATGAGCCAGAAAAATATATGATTGTCATTATTTAGAACAAATTCACCAATCCGATTCACCGCCAGCGCAGCGGGAGTGCCAGACCAGCCAGCCGCCCAAGCCGAAGCGTCTCCACCACCACGACGACGTAGCCCGACGATTATCGGAGGACGCGTTAATCGACTGGATCGCGTGAGTCCGTAAGTCCATGATATCTCTCTCTCTCTCTCTCTCTCTCTCTCTCTTTGTCCCTCTCTTCCCCCCCCTCGCTCTCTCCCGCTCTTGCTATTTCTATCTTCCTATGTCTCGCTGTCTCGCTCGCTCACGCTCTTTGTCTCTCTCTCTCACTCTCGCTCTCTCACTCTCTCTCTTTATCACCTTCTCGCTCTCTTTCTCTCTCTCTCGGTCCCTCTCTCCCTTTCTCCCGCTCTCTATCTCTCTCTACCTTTCTCTCTCTCTCTCTCGCTCTTTCTCTCATGCACCTCTTTCCATCGTTATAGGGTTTTATGTCAGCATTTCCAGGCCAAACTCGCTCACCCGCACGGAGCGCAGTACGTCGTCTTCTTCAAGCTCAGAAAGGTAAAACCAGGAAAAAATCTTCATGACGTGGCCTTTTTTCAGAGGGCAGCCACTCATCAACAAGGTCGACCAGCGGCCCTACTTTGAGGAGATGTGAGAGAGAGCCTTTTTCCCGGCTTTGCGATCGTGCTTTCGAAAACTGATAATTTCGCAATACGCCATTTTTAATTTAGATTGATTTGTATCACATTTACATACAAATTTACAAGTTGAAAATTACATTCAAATTTCAAGAAATTACCTGTTGGCCCAGAAATGCCTAGTAACGTAATAGGAAGCTTTTCATAGTGTTTTTGATGAGATTTAGCGGGATTTCAAGGCAGAAAGACATTAAATAACTGGGGGGAAAAATGTCTCACCTAAAATGGAGGTTGAGACTCGAGATTTTTGTATCCGTCCTCAAAAATGTGTCATTTTTTGTAAAGAATAGTGAAAACCGTGATTTTCGACATTTTATATGTTTTTGCAGAGAACTGCTACCGCAGCCTCCCAGGGCCGACGAGCCGCCCCGAGTTGCCGGCCATCCACCTGAAGACGTACATCGGCGCGACGCCGGCCTGGTACGTTGAGTCGTGCCCGAACTTTTTCGTAGAGTTATAGAAATATCTGAACTATCTATCTATATGTTTCAACTAGAAAAATTACCTAAAAAC